TCAGTTGTAGCTAGTATTCTTCTCAATCAGTGACAAAACAAATAGTATTCATTTACCTGCAATTCAAGTAATTTCTCTCCAAATACTTTTTCTTTCTGTTAACATCCTCATAATCTATACTGGACAGGTCACAGACCCTTCTTTTCTCTACCTCTTCCATCTTAAGGTGGAATGGCAGAGTGATACAATGGGTCAAAACAAAAACTGTCAAAAACATTGCTTCAATCACACCTCGTCACGCTCTGCCACTCGAAGCTGGTGTAGACAGCTTGACTGATTATAATAGGAGCGTTTTGGTTTTGTCATTGTTGCTTAGTTTGTTTTGCTTGCTGTTAGGACGCTGCGTTGCAGTGAAGTTAAGGTCAAAATGACAGATTTTTCTGTTTAGGTTTTTGCATTGCTGCGTCCACTCACTTCCCCCCCACAATTGGTCCAAAGTGTCCCTCATATTTTAAACATTTTTCTTTTTTTAAAAATGAACTAGGGGTAGAGTTATTACTGAAGGGGAGTCGATTTTCAATTGAGAAACATCACTGCTTCATTAACATTGCAGTTTAGACCAAGACTAGGCTTAATCCTTGTACACAAAACCAATTCAGTGTCACCGTCATAAAACCAAATAGCTATTTTTTCCTCCCCCACCCCCCCAACAACCTGCAAGCAAAAAGTGACTGTCCAGTAGAAATGGACCAAAATGACCATTTGTGGGCCAAAAATTATTCTTATTATTATATATATATATATATATATATATATATATATATATATATATATATATATATATATATATATATATATATATATATATAAAATTATTATTAATCTTGTTTATCGAACACACATTAAAGAACTTTTTTCCTTCTCCTATGAAGTTTCAATTTCAGTGATATACAGGAAAGGGTAGAGGAAGAGTTACCTGGCAGGGTGGCCAGGGCGCGCTCTGCTGTCTGTCTCAGCGTCTCTCCTGCCTCCCACGGCAGCTGAGGCAGGAGCCAGAGCCTCTGACTGCCAACATCCTGTTTCACCAGCAGCACCAAGCTGTCTCCCAGGCAGCGCTCTGACGAGCTCACATCTGTGGTGTCAGAAGCTACGAAATGTTCGGAGATCACTGACTCAGTATGTGGCACTTAGCATGTTTGAGTAGCTCGTTGCTGTGCATGCTAATATTTACCAGCTATATAGTTAGAGTGTGGGAAGAAGAAGCAACCTGCCTGAACTCAGTGACATCGCTGCTGTGGTCTAATATTACAATCAGGAAGAAAACTTTTTAGCCTTTACTCTTTTACCCAAAACATACTCATTCATTTGATTCTTCTATCTGAAGCTTCACTGACTGTAATTATGTCCATTTTTATAGACAATAGTATGATACAGTGTCAGGAACCACATAAGGAAGTGTATTAGTCACAAAACAACAACAGATTGTTACTTAACGCTGCCACTCTAAAGTACTTACTAGAATAAACCTCAGTAAAGCTATATCCCTACTAACCACACACCTTTTGTCCTTGAAGCAGGCTGGAACTGCTTCAGTTTCTGCTCCCATGCATCCTCCAAATCTTGTGCCATGACAATTTCTTGGCCTCCGTACTCCTCCTCTTCATCAGAGTCATAATCGGCCTCCTGTTTTCGGCTCATGCGCTCAGCATCCTCCAGCAGCCTCTGCTCATGATCTGACAGCAGGCTTTTCTCCAGCTCCATCTCCAACAACAAAAACCACAACAGATGGCTACAATTTGCTTAAACAAAACTCTGCAATATCACTTAAAACGGAGCCAGGTCGAGATCAAGCACTCCAAACTGGGTGATACCAATGATTTTCTTTTCGATCAGTACAAAGGCGAATATATTTGCACACACTTTCATTAGGTTAAGGCCCAATACCATTTCACCCCTTGCCCCTACCCCTCTGTTTTGTGTGTTCACATCTAGGGGTAGGATGTCCTGATTTTTGTTTACAGTAGGGCAAAGTGTTTGGGCTACATCAGAGGCAGACTCCAAACAGAGTGTTATGAGAAAAAGGGTGAATCGGCAAGATGACCGTGTGAGCGACCAAACAAATGTATTTTCTCAGTTAAAAAATTAGGACAACCATTGTATTATCTTAGTTTAATGACATTTCAGTGCATTATGGTCCTTTTCTTCATAACAAGCATAACAAATTGCTAGTAGTATGCTGATGGCTCAGGAGCTAGCTAAATATTCCGTTCCACCTTAAATGGTGCAGAATAAATTCTGGCCCCTCCGGCATCAAAACTGCCGCACCATTTAAGGTGGAACAGGAAAATTTGAAATTTCAGCCTCATATCACTGAAATATTAGGGGTGGGCGATAATAAATAACTGTCACGTCGTCCCACTTTAAAAGCATATGATGCCCAGCAGTGAGGTTGCTGAACTTTACCCTCCTCTGCCGTCACTGCAGACTGGCAGGGTCGCCTACAGAGCAGCGCTAGTAGCTGTTAATGAAGTAATGCTCTTTTTTATTTGAGGGTCCCATTTCATAGAGGAAGATTTCAACCACTACCCATTGTAACTCAGTTCCAAGGGGCAAGGTGACACTTGAAAACAAGGAGTAGGGGTAAAAATAAGAAATGGGATTGGGTCTTAATCTAAGTCTGTATGTGCCCAGTAGTGCTTGATATTTTTGTTATTTTTCAAATGTGTGTTGTTCTAGACTCGGGTGCAGATTTCACATTTGGGTTATCCCCAGTTTTTATTCAAAAAAAGCAATCCATGGCACTTTACTAATTACTTCTCTCAAACTGTACTTTGATTACTTGTTACTACCTGGGAAAAGTAATCACATTACTTGTTACTCTGGCGTTAAATTAAATCCATACAAATCTGTACCAGTTGGGGAAAACCCGATAGTCTTTTTCAGTGATTTATTTAAAAAGACATCGTCAAACACAGCAGACATAACTTAAAATATCATAATCCCTGCCTTTTCACACAGCCAGTTTTACACAATTGGAGACTGATTATTCTAAGCCAGTAGAAACTTTTCAAAAAAGCTTACTTGTAATAAAATCTTTACAAATAAAATGTAAAGCTTGCAGAACTGTCTAGCTTGTTTGATGAGGTTATCTTTCAGTTTCATATTAGCGTGACTGGATATTTCAACAGACTGTTCGTTTTGCTCACACTGTGCTGTTCATATTCACAGTTGAAATCACACAGTCAGCTGCCTCAGGTAGTGCACAGATACACAAGTTACATACAAGGACATACAGATCATATATAGAGACAAAATGTATGCTCTGAATGCAATGTGTGAAATTAACAGTTCTCTTAAAAATATAAGTATCAATTTATCCCATCCCTACTCCTTGACATCAACACTATCATCTAGGCCAGTGGTCTCCAACCCTCATTGTGGAGACTTACTTTCCTGCAGAGTTTAGTTCCAACCTGCATCTAACAGGCTGCCCCCACTTACCTCACACTAATGCATCTGATCAAGCCAATCAGGGACCTCTGGAAAAGATAATGAGCTGGAGCAGGTGTGGCAGATTGTAGTTCCCTTTATTAAAGATCACTTGAAGAACCATCTCTTTTAAGAGTGTAGGAATAACCTAGATCAGTGGTCACCATACCCAGTCCTGAAGATCTGTCTTCCTACAGACTGTGGTTGGATCTAGACGCTGCAGGACGACAGATCTCCAGGACCAGGGCTGGTGACCTCTGATTTAGGCCATTCCTACACTCTTAAAAGAGATGGTTCTTCAAGGCTTCTTTAGTAAAGGGAATGGTTCTATTTAGAACCATGAGTTCTACATAGAACCATTAAGCATGCCTAAATTGTTCCTTGCATGGTGAAATGGTCCTTCAGATCGATGGAAAATGCGTTGCATTAGAGGCGATACGGCAAAAATATAATATCAAAATTATAATATGTCACAATGTTTATTTTTTCAGACATCTGGTCAGTTGGAATGGAGAAAAAGTAACCTACATTTTGAAGAATACCATCAAAAACTGTGAATACAATGATTTGTAATTAATATTTGGCATCCTGTGCTGCAGTAAATCCATTTAAACTGGGTTAATTTTGCTCTCTTTATAATGAAACACAGCTGGTCAGTTTTTTTTTTACAAGTACGGACAGTATATATACAATATGTTCAGAAAAACATGCTGTACTTTGACAAAATCTAACAGGATTACGATATATATATATTGTCATACTGCCCAGCCCTATGTTGCTTATGTTTCTTTTGGAAAACGGTTCTATATAGTACCAAAAAGGGTTCTTCTTCCCTATTTCACTTTTTTAAGAGTGTACCAGAAACATAGCTGAAGTGGGCTTCTTATTGGAATGTTCCGTTCCACCTTAAATGGTTCAGCAGCTGCACCACTTAAGGTGGAACGGAACATTCCAATAAGAACTCTACTTCAGCCTCATTAGGAGGTGCCAGGGTGCTTGACATGAAAGTGTAGTGGCATTTATATAAACTCCCCAGTGCTTTTTGCTGCAGATTACCTGCTGCATCAGGTCCATGAACTGCTCCTCAATAGGGCTCCTGTCCTGAGAGATGACCGGCAGCCTCTGAAGGCAAACAGCTCCATGTAGAGCCCAGGGGGACGCAGCACTGACCGGGCTCAGCTTCTGTGCCCCCCGTGTCTGAGGAGTGGAGGAGACACTGCGCACAACAGACTTTACTGACGCTGAAAACTTTACTGAGCCTGAAATCTTCTGCCACAGAGGTCGAGCAGCGAATCTCCAACAGGGCGCCGCCATCCTGGCTTCGCACGTGTTTCCCACAATGCAGCGGGCAGGAGGCAGCGAGTCAGCCGTGTGGGCAGGACCATTAGGAAAATAGGGGGGTACCATCAACCAGTTTGGAAATAAGGGCTGGAATTGGCGGTGAATATGGTTGTAAACTGAAATGCAGTACGTGTAAATTAAATATATGGCCCTACTTTGTATCTGTGTGCTGCGTGCAGTTTGTAAAGACTACAGGAGGAAAACTAACCTTAACGTCCCCTCCAGTTTCAGCAAATGTAACATCCGGGATACACACGGAGCTCCAATGTCATGCAGCGCTGGTCGTAGTGACTTTTCGATGGGCAACACATGGCGTAAAAATCATGTATAAAATAAATTCTGCGTTGTCCAGCCTCGTCCGAGGCGTATGTCAGCAGCTGTTTGAGCCTTTGAATGCAGCCGGGAGGCCGACGTAAGTCATGTGATAGTGTTTTTATCAGACTGTCTCCATGTGTATTGCAACGTAGGATACAGTGATGATAACGACCTGAATTGCCTGTGTGTGTGTTGGTGAAGTTCCCCTAAATTTAAAACGCTTTTTCCAGTTTTCACTATCGATTCATTAACATGTCCCTTCAGGCAACCTAATTTACTGTGCATGAAACAGATATCAACTTTTATTTGTTAGAATTACAGTCAACACGGTCGTTAAAGGGGAACTCCACCGATTTTTCCAAAATTCTACTTAATTAAATGGTTAAGATGTAAACAAAGTGACCAAAGTGGTTTGGTGTGAACTGTTCTGTTCTAGATAAACTTACCAAAGTCAGAACTGTTCACAGTGGTGGTGATAGGAACCAGGCGTCCACCTCTAAAAGCTCCCTCACAGAAAATTATTACATAAAATGGTTAGATATATGCTGTAATGTCTGACACATTGTGTTATGATAGTTTTGTGATAATTTTCTGGCTTAAAATTTATTTTAGTCCATTCATTTTAGTCAGTTTATGGTGGGGAGGATTTTTCCCTTACTTTGTGTTGACCATCTTATATCTAATCTTCTCGGAAATATCTCCCAAGGAATAAATAACTTAATATACTTAATGTCTGTTAAAATAATTAAATAAATGAAAGCTGGTTTCTGAATTTTGCAGAGTACTGCAGTACTTTGGTGTTTTTATTGACAATCAGTGTTCATACATTTCACAAAAAATCATATAATAACATTCATTCATTGCTTGATTTTAGATTTAAATTGATCTATAAATTGAGACGGTCATAATTTGTCCCATTGTTCTTGATGCAGTGGAGGAAATGTGAGGGTGTTGCGGCTGCTGTCCACAAGCGTTGCCCGTTTACAAGAGGCTGAAGCTCAACCACAAGAGGTCGCAGCCACATCCACTACCCCTGCAAAAAGCTCAGAAGACTTCAGGTACATCATAAGCCCAATACATGTATTCACCAGTGTGCATGAATGGATTTATTAATGATGTTTTGCTTTATAATACGTGCTCATTAATTAGAATCACATAATTAGGAAACTCTCAGATTTCCTGTGTAAAATAAAGTAAAAATATTTATTGGATTTTTTTCATGAAGCAAGATTCACTGATGTTTTTTTAGTCATGTTGTGGTCCTCTTTTGGAACGCCCAATATTCTGTTGTTAGCAAATTAACACTAAACACCAGAAAACGTCCAGCATGGTGGAAAAACAATATTGCGAACAGTTCTGAAAATTTGTCTTCACATTATTAGGCATGCAAGAATGAGATGTCGTGTGTTATGGCGCAGTGGAAATATTCATCTTTCTTGGGTTTTTTCCACACAGTTGCATTACATTTTTTTCACATGCTATATTTTTCCATAGTCCTGTGTTTTTCTATCAGTATAGAGTGAAATTAATAGTATTGACAGTGACTTTGTGCAAGAAAAATGCTATATGAAATGCCTGTTCTTTGGCAGCCCTTAATTGCTCTGAAATGTCTTATGATATGCAGATAATTAAAAAAAAGATCTGCTCTAACTTTATGTCATCTCCAAAGTGTGGTTTTATACCTGTTTATTTCCCTTCACAGTCCTGGATCAGTGTTGTTTTCTTTTCTCTCCTCCATAGTTATTACCCTCCCTTTCCTGGCCAAGACAGCGCATTGAGATGGGGCGGCAAGAAGTTTGAGGAACTACCAGTAGTCCACATAAAAGCCACATATAACAAGTAAGATGATTTATTGTAAAGGAATAGTTTGACCAAACATGCTAATGTGGCTAACAGTGAAAGGAAGCCAGTGGCCACAGATGAGTATGATAGCATGATTGCATACCCTGCTGAATACTAAACTAAAGTGTTCAGTTTTTTGCCTTAAGACATTTCTTTCTTAATCTTGGTGCTGTTAAAACATCCATAAGTTCTTTTGCTCTCTAGTTGTTTGTGGGAGACAGGTTTTAAAATTAGGCCTCTGTATAGAAGCATTCATGCAATATTTAGACACAAGTGCATAGAGTCCAGATATGGAGTGGAGTTCTAAGAGGATATTCACTTTTCTCTGCAGCACTCACATCCAGGTAACAAACAGCGAGGGCCAGTCCATGGCCAGAACCTCCTGTGGGACAGAGGGCTTCCGCAATGTAAAGAAATCCACCCCCATCGCAGCCCAGACGGCCGGAATCTCTGCCGCTGCTGTAAGATACATTCAACTTTCACAATACTACTGAATTAGTATTCAGTTGAACCATTATGTATGTAAGGGTAGACAATAATGCAAGAATCTAATATCACAATAGTGATAAATTATCACATTATGTTACAGTAAGCTTTTCTGAGCGTATCATGGATGTCTTCAGTACTTAAAGAACACGGACCAACTGCATAGTTTATTACAGCGCATAATTGTCCGTTTGTATGTGAAATGTTGAATAAATATCACTGTAGTTATAGTTTTTGGTAGATTTTTAAAATGTGATATCTTTATTTTCGAGACTGGACGCTGAATCTCGGCTCCAAAGTGTGCAGCATTTAATATCTGCGCTCTCGTTTATATTTTTAGCCCATACTAGGACATTATCACATACTGAGACATACTGGGCATTAAATGTTGTGGCTCCTAAGGTGGTTTGACTTCCTTGAAAGGCAGAATGGCTCTTCTGAACATTTGTGTTGTGACTCCTGACCTAACCTGGCTTTAATGCAGAGGGAGCCGGTCGGATTTCTCACTCATCCAGTAGTGTTTTTGTTATGTGCCGCCACAGACTGTCCGGGCGCTGCACTTCCGCACTTCCAGTTCAGCCTTTTGCGTTCTGTCAACATTACGATATAAATTAAATATTTAGAAAAACGATTTTTGACGTTGAATGAATCCATTCAGAATCATTCACGTCCGTATCGCGATGCATCTAAGAATCGAGTTTTTCCCGCACCCCTATTATGCATCACAATATTTTGTTTTTCAGAGGTTTGATGAGTTGGAACAGAGAAAAAGGCCTGGTAGAGACCAAATTGAAAAACAACATGAAAGGCTATGAATATGATGATATTTAATCAACGTTTCACGCACTGCACTGCACCAAATCCAGCTAAACAGGACTGATTATGCGGTCTTTGTAATGAAACATGGAGTTGGTTAGTGTTCTTTAAGTGTGAGACAGTCGTATGCAAAAGTTTGACGTTATGTTGATTTTCTAATGCATCCTCTACAGGGAGCAAACCTAAAAATGGATATATTGCATTGCATATTTAAAAACAAACCTATATATTGCACAGCATATTTAAATGGATATATTGCACTGCATATTTGAAAAAAACAATTGATATTGTACTGCATATTTGAAAATATGGATATATTGCACTACATATTTTAGTGCACAATTTGTTTATTTAAAGTTTTTGGAAAAAATAAAGCATCAAATATGAGATATGCCATAGTTTTTGCACAACCCACATTTTAAGTTTTATTTTTTTCTAATATGTTAATTTCAGCAAACAAACAGTAATTGTACATTAAAATGTGCAGAAGTGTGTTCTCTGTAGAGGATGTGTTGACTCGATTAGATATTGTTGCATAATGTAACGTTATTTATCATTATAATGATAAATATCATCCCACTGCCCACCCACACCCAAGGAAAGAATACAGTAAAGGGAAAGAATCTGAGTCCGTTGCTCATATAATGGACACCTCACAGTAGACGTACATGAAATGGTCTAGTGAGGTTTGCGAAATATAACACTCTGTTGTAAATCTTTTTAGCAAAATCATTTCTTGCTTAACTTGCACACTTTCTGATGTGCTCCTTATATCACTTTCTTACCTTTCCTATGCGTCTATTCCATGCTCTTGTCCACTGGATGGCAGCACTGTCCCTTTGAGTAATGTTTTAGTAATGTATTAAGGTGGTACCGAGTGTCATTACAGTTATGCTTATAGCTTCAGAATTTTGGATGAAATAAATTACATATGGTTCTATGTAAACATCTAACTTATTGATGGCGGTAGGGATTAACCAAGCACTGCAAAACCATAATCAGCACTGGACTTGTTGTGCTATGCTTGTCCACCTCCCTTCTGCCTCCTTGTGCGAGGATGTGCTTCTCCACATATTAATGAAACTATCATCCTTGAGTCAAGTACATCAGGCAACCTTTGGTTTTCATAATTGGAGAAGCTTTCTGTACATTGAGTTTATTCACTCATATACTGGCAATTATGCCGAGGGACAGAGCTATCATTCAGATATTTAGGTCCATGTTTATCCTTCTCCTTCTAAGTTTCCTCTGCGCTGTGCTCCTAATTTCATCAGCGTTTGCCGTGGGGAAGTTAATGAGAACCCCGCGCAGTGGCACTGTGGATAATAACTGCATGACTTTATTCTTATAGCCATTCATTTATTGCGCGGACACAAGCAGTATCAACTAAATCAGTATTTTTCACAGAGTCCTCGCTAAATAACCCCCTGCGATTTTGTTTTGCTTCAGTTATTTATTAGCCTTTAATAGAACAAGTGCTGTACTTTGTGTCTGTCTCCTCTGAACAGAAGGCACAAGCAAAGGGGGTGACATTTGTCCGAGTACAAGTCAAAGGACTGGGGCCAGGACGCTTGGTAAGTATTGCTAATGCTCCACATCAATTTGATATATCCTGTATAATGGGTAACATAATTGCAATATTATACATATATTATAGTAGTACATGCATATCTGTAATATCAGCACGTGGTCCATAGACAATTACTGGTTCTTCATGAGATGTCTGAACACTAGAGAACTATAAACAAAGTAGCCAGTGGATACATTTATTTAGAATTACCTTTCTGCAGTGAGTTTGCTTAACTGACTTTGTTAACCATTTAGGGACATTTTCCTGGACATGTTTCTAGTCTTGGCCTAAATTGCAGTGCCAGTGATGAATTACCATGTGATTTTTTTTTAGTTTAGGCTTTGGTTTCTGGGATCTTTGATTTAGAAATTGGCCCATGTAATTTTAATACACATTTACACCACATTGTGGAATTTGCAACAGTGTTGTATAAAATGGATAAAAATTACAAGTCGTTATTGCTGTCATTTGAATGCATTTTAAGAAGGATTCTAAAAAGTGGTTGATGGAGTGGGTGAAATTATAGCCTATATACATGCAACAGATTGAACTGACAAATCTAACAGCATCCCGCGAAAGAGTTATGGCCTCTCAGCTTTGCATTCCTATTTCAAACTTCAAAATGTCTTTTGGATAAAATTGTCTGATATGAGCCTGTTGTAGATATTGACAATGTATTTCTTGGTTTTTATTTTTACCCCTTCCCATTGTTTTTGAGTGTCCCATTGCCCCTTGGAACTAAGTTACAAGGTTAGTAGTTGAAATCTTCCCCTATGAAATGGGACCCTCAAATAAAAAAGAGCATTACTTCATTATCAGACTACTAGTGCTGCTTTGTAGGTGACCCTGCCAGTCTGCAGTGATAGCAGAGGAGGGTAAAGTTCAGCAACCTTACTGCTGGGCTTTAGTTACATCCCATGCTTTCAAAGTGTGTGTGTGTGTGTGTGTGTGTGTGTGTGTGTGTGTTGAGACAATTATTTATTATCACCCACCCCTAATTCTTCAGTGATATGAGGCTGAAGTCAGTTATTCACCAGCTTCTTGTTTGAATTTTCCAGTTCCACCTTAAATGGAGCAGCAGTTGCATTCTGGCGCCTTATACGTCCTTCAAAGAGTCAATACTGCTGGACTATTTAGGGTGGAACGAAAAATTTAGCTAGCTAGCTACCGAGACATTAGCATACTATTAGCGATTTGTTTTGTGCTTGTTATAAAGAAAAGGACCAAAATATATTGATACGACATTAAACTAGGAAAATACTTTGGTTATCGTAAATTTTAACGAAGAAAATACTTACATTTGTTGGTCTCTCTGGTCACTTGTGCAGCCGTCTTGCTGATTTTTTTCTTATAACACTCCGTTTGGAGTGTGTCTCTGAGAAAGCTCTGTTTGGAGGGCCATGTAACCCTAACACTTTGCCCTACCCCTCCATTTCAACAAAAATCCGGACACCCTACCCCTAGACGTGAATGCACAAAAGGGAGTGCTAAGGGCTAAGTGTGATGCGGGAAGAGGGAGAACCATCTTAGTGATGGAGGGAGAGTGAGGCCACTTATGCTCTCTTGACTCCCGGCCATGGATGGCTGTGGTATCACTGCGGATCAAACTCACAGTCTCCTGATGACAGGGCCAATGCTTAGACAACCAACACTTGCACCACTCAGGAGCCCTGAAAGTGAAATTTACCCATGAAAAAAGCACCATTTTTGTTAACTTAGGTCCAGAATTCTCAGTTAACATTGTTGCCATAGTAAGCATGTTGTTGTAGTGAGATTATTTTTATCAATTGCAATGAATGCATTCATCGCTGGTATAGGCTTCACCCCATATATAGGTCATAGTCTCTGTTTTAGTCTGATCTGCCTTAAGTAGCATCGGACTCAGGCTTAATCTCCAAGGGCTTCTCCTTTCTTTTATAGTGCACTATGTAAGTTATGAAATTCTGGCTTCTACACCCAAATAGTGCACTATGTGTGCAGTATGGAGTAGTGTACACATGGCAAATTGTGTTTGGGTGCAGGAGCCAGTATTTTAACTCCTATGTAGTGCACTACCAAGGGAGCAAGAATCTATTTGAGATATAGCTACAGCATGGGAAAAGGGACATACAATCCTGTTAGCTTGGTGCTAAATAAGACTGGAAACCGGAAAGAGGCACGAATAGACATTAGCATTGTCTTTGTGGTGGTAATTTGGAGAGCAAATACTACTTATTAAGCGAAGGTTTTTGCATTAACCACTTAAATGGCCAGGGCCCAACGACGGGCCTTAAGATTTATTACACACTTCTATAACTTAAGAATAGCTCAGCCAGTTTGCATTGAAGTTCCTGTAGTTACTGAATAATAAGCCTTTGTTGATGTAATAATTGTGTATCTATATATTTTTGCAGATTTTATGTTGTCTGTCTTTTTTTTAAGTCAGTAAGCCACTTGAGGCCATGTTACATTGATTTTATCATGGATAATGGAGTTTTACTCTACAACCCCATTTCCAAAAAAGTTGGGACGCTGTGCAAAATGTAAGGAAAAACAAAATGCAATGATGTGCAAATCATTTAAACCCTATATTTCATTGAAATGCTTCAAAGACAACATATCAAATGTTGAAACTGAGAAATTTTATTGTCTTTTGAAAAATATGTGTCCTTTTTGAATTTGGGCGTATTTCAACACCACGTTCCAAAAAAGTGGGGATGGGGCAACGAAAGGCTGGTAAAGTTGTGTAATGCTTGAAAACACACATGGTGGTTGATTGTCAACAGGTCAGTAACATGATTGGGTATAAAAAGAGCACCCCAGAGAGGCTGAGTCTTTCAGAAGTTAAGATGAAGAGGGGTTCACCACTCTGTGAAAGACTGCACAATCAAATAGTGCAACAATTCAAGAATAAAGTTTCTCAATATAAACTAGCAAAGAATTTTTGCTTTTCATCATCTACAGTACATAGTATCATTAAAAGATTCAGAGAATCTGGAGAAATCTCTGTATGCAAGGGACAAGGCAAAAAACAGTATTTGTTGGCCATGACCTTTGGGCCCTCAGATGGCACTGCATTAAAAACAGACATGATTCTGTAGTGGAAATCATGGGCTCAGAAACACTGTCTATGAAAACAGTTCGTTGCTGCATCCACAAATGCTAACTAAAACTCTTAAACGCAAAGAAGAAACCATATATAAACAGGATCCAGGAAAAAGTGTCCTGTGGTCTGACGAATCAACATTTGAAATTCCTTTTGGAAATCATGGACACTGTGTCCTCCGGGCTAAAGACCACTCAGCTTGTTATCAGTGCACAGTTCAAAAGCCAGTATTCATGATGGTATAGGGGTGCATTAGTGCACATGGCATGAGTGACTGGCACATCTGTGAAGGCACCAATAATGCTGAACGATATATACATGTTTTGGCAACATATGCTGCCATTCAGACAACGTCTTTTTCAGGAAGGCCTTGCTTATTTCAGCAAGACAGTGTCAAACTACATTCTGCATGTATTACAACAGCATTGCTCTGTATTAAAAGTCCAGTCCAGACCTGTCGCCACTGATAACATTTGGGACATTATAAAAAAAGAAAAATAGTGTCCTTGGGTTTGTGAAAGGCGCTATATAAGATGAACTTATTATTAATATTATTATTATTAGTAGTAGTAGTATTATAAAATGAAAAATATGACAAAGGAGACTCCGAACTGTTTAGCAACTGAAATCCTATTTTAAGCAAAAATGGGAAAACATTTCACTTTTAAAACTACAGCAGTCGCTCTCTTCAGTTCCCAAACGCTTACAGAGTGTTGTTAAAAGAAGAGGTGATGAAACACAGAGGTAAACATGCCCCCATCTCAACTTTTTTGAAATGAGTTTTGGCATCAAATTCAAAATGGACATACATTTTTCAAAAAACAATAAAATTTCTCAGTTTCACAGTTATCACACAACTTTGACTTAGAATCAGACCTCAGTTAGTCACTGTACAACTTGGTAGCATCTTTCTGTCACCAGGTTGGTTTTTTTCTTGAGAACTCAAGGAGAAGTAAAAACCGGTTTACAGTTTGTTTTATTCAACATTAATAATTTTTGTCAGTTTTAAAAGGGTAAATTCAGCAAAACATCCACCCTGTCTCACAAAATAGACTCAGAAAAGAGTTTAATGAAATATTTAACCACATTCACAGTAAAGTCATATTAATTACTGTTGAAAAATCTACCTTAGTAGCTCTAACCTTGAAAAATGTGAGTGTAGTGGAATATGTACTTGAAGCTATGACAGAAATGTGACTTCTTGACATGAAAGAAATTCAAATTTAGCATGTCCACTTGGCATTGATCTCATAGAATGACTCTGAAATGGACAAAAGTGCATCATGTAACTTCAGAAATAGGCAGTAACTGCTTATATGTACTTAATTTCATGTACTTTGTTTGATCATTTCTTTGATGGTACATTTTTCTAGTATTTTATTTTTTCCTCAGAGGTTCACATATAACATTTGTGTGGTTTTATGTACCATAATTCATTTTTACATGATAATTTTCCAGCCTCTCTTTGTCCCTTAGAATTAAGCTTTGCTGGTTATATAAGATAAATGAGCTCTGTTTCTGAGCTGAGACCATGTTTAGATCTTCAGGATGAATATGCAGAGCTAAACTGCTGTAAGCTGAATATCAGGATATGTGTAAATGTGTTGGTTCTCATGATGTCACAGGAACACAGAGTTTCTATATATGGACTGTATGGACTGGGAAGTGATTTGGACATCTTGAAACTTTAACGTTTCAATACTATTTCAAACTCCTTTATTAAAAAAAAAGTGAGGTACTTTGCAAGCTTCATTTCCTGAGCTGATAGATGCTGGATGTTCTGTGAAGTTCCACTGCAGTTTTATAAGTTATTCAATACTTAAGTAATTTTTAAGTTTTAAGCTAAGTTTGTTCCACTCGAGTTGTTGTTTGAAAAGAAACTTGTACTTTTATTCAAGTCATTATTTCACCAAAGTAAC